GTCGCTACAAGCATGCTTAGTGTGAGGGATTGCATTCCAGTCAATGAGTCGAAGCAATCAACCGGTTTTCCTTAGATGTTTGAATTGTAAAGTAACTTGAGATGACATGTGTTTAGAAATAAACTGAATTAATTAGTATCCTATAGTCGATTCTGATCAGGAATATCCTTAAGATTATGGGATTAGAAAAGAGAAAACCATGTAGACTAATTATATCTGAATAAAGGGAGTGTTGGAAGTATTTTGTTGTTTAGGTATTAAATCACAGAGGGAGAAAAAAATTAGAGTAAAAAGATACCAAAGAATCGGGTCACTGATCCAAGAACTTCTTTTTTTACCTTTCTCTGTGGTGAGGAAACATCTTAGAAGGTGACCGGAACTCCTTTGCTGGAATAACAGAACAGATGAGATTTAGAACCAGGAGCAGACTATTTTAACTGTCCTCCTCTATCTAAACTTACCCCATTTCCTTTGGTAAACCTTGTTGAATGTTTTTAAATAACTAAAGCTGGCCTCTGTCTCGGTAGGTCTCCGTTTTTCCCTCCAAACCAGCAGATAACTTTAATCCCGCTTTATTCTCGGCGCTGCTCCCAGTCCGCCTCTCAGGAGGCAGCAGCTGACCTCAGTGACGAACCAGGACCGGATCAGCCGTCAGGTCAAACAACACGCATCCGCTCCAGTTTTTCCCTTTTTTCTGATTCCTCGCTGGAAGCTGGAGCTCTCAGGGTTCCTGCAGTTTCCCAGCGCTTCTCTCAGCCCGGCGGTGGAGCAGCATGCGGCCGTCAGCGAGCCGAGAGCCGATCCAGCTGCATGTGGCAGGCGGTGAGGTGAAGCAGGAAAGTGTGTCACCCTGCCTGCCTGCAGCCGGGCGCAGCGCGCCCCCGGTGCGCGCGCGCTAGGCTGAAGGTTTTAACGGGTGACCGAAGCGGCGCGCGGGGAAAAGTCACGCCTTCATAAAAAATAAAAAAAATCCGCTGCAGCCCAAACCCTCCTCTGGAAATAATAAGTTAATTCAAAACAATAAACTAAATCAATTTAATATGATACAAACAGATTAAAATGAAAAAAAATGAAAAAATTCTAGCAAAAAATAAAATAAAAAATACACTAAATTCAAAAGGATTTTTTAACATTTATTGCCTTTTCATCACTGACTTACTTAACTGTACTTTTAGAGATTTTTAATGTTTTTAATTTTTTTTTTTTTTTTTTTTTTGAGAATGAATTGTAGTATTACGATATAAGGTCGTAATATTATGAGAATAAAGTTGGCAAATTACGAAAATAAAGTCATCATACCACAACCCGTTTCAGAAAGAAAGCCTGGAGCTCCGACCAGCTCCACCAATCAGCAACCAGAGTCCACTTTGACTTCCGGTTCAGTTTGATGCTGCTGCTCTGCCAAAGTATAACTTCACATGATGCTCT